GAAGCATGTCTGGAAGGATCTAGAGGTGTCACCTGGGAACCAAGTAGGAATTGCATCCTTGCCGGTGTGGATGCCAGCACGCCCACGGTGCCAGAAGTGAAAGCAAGGAGCACGTTCCTGGACACTCAAAGACCACAGGCACTCAGAAACAAAGGGAGCTCTGGCGGCTTAGTGATAAGGAGTGGAGCTGCTAACCCAATGGTGTGCAGTTTGAATCTACCAGCTGCTCCACAAGAGTTAGGCAGTTTCCTCCCCTGCAATTTACTGCCTCTGAAAACCTGCTGGATGGTCAGCTGTGTATTGATTCCAACTCTATGATACACAGCAACAACAGGGGCTGAGGCTACCTTCTAGCACCTGGTGGCTGCAGTCCTCTTAGGGCTCAGCAATGCCATGTGCCCAGCTCACGTTTCAGGGCTTGACTGACTCCTGGTGCCAGGAAGAGCTGATCTTTCTCTTGGAGGATTCTCTTAGGGCTGCTGTAACAAAGTACAGATGACTTGAGGACTTGAAAACAACAGACATTTCCTCCCTCACTGAAATCAGTGTCAATGTGTCCATAGGACACATTCCCTTGGAAGGCAGACCTTGCCTCTCTGAGCTCTTGGTGGCCCTGTGTGTCCTGTGGCTGCATCATTCTAATCTCTGCTTTACTCTTCTCTGCCAAACCTCCCTCTTTCAAAGATTCTCATAAAGATGTTCAGGGCCTGCTGGTGTAATCAGAGATAATCTCCATATCTCAACATTCCTAATGTTTTTTCAAAGTCCTTTCACCTATTCAAAGGTTACAGATGATGAGATGAGGGTGTGGCTATCTTTGAGATCTTTCCACTTTTCTGATATATCTAGGGCTGTCATGAATTGGGGCCAATTTAGTGGCAACTGGTTTACAAATGGTCCCACAGGCAGGATTGGAGTAAGTCCAGGAAAAACCATGTGGTGGTGAGGACAATGCCATCTGTGTGTCTGAAGAAGGAACAGAGTGTAAAGTGAGGTGTTTTTGTTTTGTTTTGTTGTTTTTGGGGGGTTTTGACCTAGAGGAAATGTGGGTTTATTTTAGCTTCAATTTTTGTTGGTTTCTCAGTCATTCATGCATAAACATTTTGTTTTATAACGTTAATTGCAAGTTATTAATGTAATTAGCTAGTAACAATGTCTGATAAATTTTCATTGTATATTGTCTTTCCCTTCATCCAACTTATCTATTAGTTACTTTTCAATTCCCTCTCCCTCCCTTCTCATGCCAGGTAACATCTAAGAATGATTCTGTTGTTGTGTACCGTTGAGTCAGAACCAACCCATAGCTGACCCTCCAGCAGGTTTCCAAAGGCAGTTAATCGCACGGGAGGAGACTGCCCATCCTCCTGCAGAACAGCTGGTGGATTTGAAGCACGTTCCTTTAGGACTAGCTATATGTAACTATTTCTTCAACTTTTTATAATAATGGTCTTCAATAGTTGTCCTTTTGTGACTGTCTTATGTCGCTCAGCATAATTTCCTCTAGACTTATCCATGTTGTGCAATATTTCACCATTCTTTATCATTCTTTAGTGTTGCGTAGTATTCCATTGCATGAGCAAACCGTAGTTTCTATAGCAATAACTTTGCTGATGGACACTTGTTTTCCAGCTTTTTGTATTGTAAATAATGCTGCATTGGATATGGGTATACATGCATCTGTTTGTTACAGCACTAAAGTGAGTTTTAAGTGACACGAAGACACCAACAGCCTGACTCTAAGAGCCTGCTTTGTTGATGGGAAGTGGACAGGCTTTATGTTGGGTCACCTTGGGTGGAGGTAGCCTGTGTCACAGAGCGGGGTCATAGAGGTCACCATACTCTGCTGGCCCACGACTGCTGGCCAGGCTGGCATCAGAATTGGGTGTAAGCAGGATGGTTTTCTTTGTGCTTGGATGCATTTATCTCTGTTTGTCTTTCTGTATTCAGTGCTTTCCATGGACTTGGTTTCATTTCAGATTTACTAAATTAGATTAGGCCCTGGATGCAGACCCCCGTTCTCCACACTTACCCAAGAGAGAAGAGGCATTTGGTCATGCTGATTGATTTAGACAGATTATCCACTATTTTAGAAGGCTATTGTTGATTGCCTTCGACTCATAGCAACCCTATGAACAAAAGGCCTAAAGTCCCTCTACAACTATCGGTATTTATCAAAGTTCAGTTTCCAGAGGAATGTTATTTAGAAAGTGGATGCCACTCCTGCTTCTGATACTTTAAAAAAAAAACCCCAATCTGTGAAAGGTCAAATTTTAACTCCACCCTCATTCAGTGAAGCATCATTTTAATACCATTTCCAGATACATCAAAAAAACAAAACAAAAAGCCGTAAATGCTTTGCCATTGGGTCAGAACTCGCCCCTCAAATGGAACTCTAGTAGGTTTTTGGGTGCTCATCTTTCTCCTGAGGAGCCATTTGTGGTGTTGTTGTTGTCGTTGTCGTTAGGTACTGTCAAGTCCACTATGTCACAGAGCGATCCTGTGAAGAACCGATCTGAACCTGTGCTGTCGTCATCATCCCGGACACTTGAGCCCATTGCTGCAGTCACTGCGTCAGTCTGCTCATTGCAAGTGGATTGCAATCCTCAGAGAGTCACACAACCTTTGGGTTGGTAACACAGCTCTGGGCTGTGTGACCAGAGTTCCTGGACACTGGTAAACTCCCCCAAATGAGCAGCCATTGGGTTGACTCAACTCCCAGCAGCCCCATATGCATTGGAGCAGAACCGTGCTCCACCAGGTGTTCAGGGGCCCATGTTTTGGTACTTCCCCCCTCCTTGTTGTGTACCGTTGAATCAGATCCAACTGGCACAGGAGGAGATTGCCCCTACCTCTGCAGAGAAGCATCTGGTGGATTTGAATCGTGCACTTTCAAGATTGCAGCGCAGCTTCTTGCTGCTAGGCCACCAGAGCTCCCTTCTGGCACCTGTGTTTTGGGAGCAGGTTGTCAGTTCTTTCCTTTAAGGTACCCCTATGTGATCTGGGATCTCAAGCCTTTGGGTTAGCAACCCGATGAGTCCACCACTTGCACCATCCTAACAACAGCACCATCTGCTGTTATTAGCCATAACAGTCCCCAGGTCCTGGGACAATTTGAGTCACTCTGATTATCTAAATACAGACCCGTTGGGGAATTTTCTGGTTAATAAGATTCCTTGAAAATGCCCTACCTGTGGTTTGAGACCAGCTGAATTCAGTGCTTTCAGGCATAGGCGGACTTTTCCTCAGCTCTCCTCACACAACTAAACTTAGTTAAACTGCTCAAGTGGAAAAAGCTCCTGTTCTGCTTCTGGCATTTTCTCTGGGCCACAGGGATTTGTGCTGCTCGGTATCTCCCTGGCGGGTCAAATCAGAGAAATAACAATGTCCTCCCATTCGATTTACAGCCTCAGAAACCCAATGGAGGGTCAGCTAGAAATTTATTTCAGTGTAGGGCAATGACTTGTTATGCATCAGAGAGCTGGACAATGACTAGGGAGGACAGAAGGAGAACTGACGCCTTTGAGCTGTGGTGCTGGAGAAGAGTATTGAATGTACCATGGACTGCCAAGAAAACAAACAGATTCATCCTAGAGAGGGTTAAATCAGGCTGCTCCTTGGAGGCAAGGATTCTGGGGCTTCGTCTGACATACTTTGGACATGTTGTAAGGAGAGACAGGTCTTTGGAGAGGGACATCATGCTGTGTAGAGTAGAGGGACAGCGCAGGAGGGGAAGACTCTCTATGAGGTGGATTGATTCAGTGACTGGGGTAATTGGAATGGGTGTGTCAGAGGCAATGCAATTGGCACAGGATAGAGCAGGGTTTAGGGCTGTTGTACATAGGGTCGCTATGAGTTACAAACAACTCGACGGCACATAACAACAACAAGTTGTTGAGTTTGACTTTTTATAAAGGATGAAGAGGTCACACACTCAGGTGAGTGGATCTGACTGTGACCTCTGGACTATATATGTACTTTTTTTTTTAACCACCACAATAAACAGTTCCTTTGAGTGATGACCTCACAAGTGTCAGAGTGGAAATGGGCCCCGTAAAGTTTTTGACAGCTTTTTCAGAATATGGCTAAATCTTTCTTCCAGAGCACTTCTGGAACCTCTAACCTTTCAGCTGAGAGTAAAGCAGATAACTGTATGTACCACCTAGGAACTCCTCGACCTACTCCAGTCAGTCAGTTCTTCCTTGGCTTATATAGTTGGATGTTTTCCACTTTGCAAAGGTTTGGAGTGTTTCCTCTTTCTTAGGTGTCATCAGGGACTGGGACTCCTTTACCTATCAGTGCAAACGGTGGTCAAGCAGGAGAAATGTCAGAAACCTATTCCAACAGAGCAGGTGCCCCTATAGACGTGTCCCCCTCCACCCCCAGGCCTTATCCCGTCTCCTGACATTCCTGACATCTATCCTGACACACACTCCTGACATTCCAGAAAACAAACTACAAGCTGGGTGCTTATACAAGCTGGTCTCACACTGCTGACTGAAAGATTGGGGGTTCAAGCTCATCAGCCATTCCGCTGGAGAATGGGGAGCTGTTCTGTAAATATTTATAGGCTAGGAAACCCCCATGGGGGTGTCAAGGTAAGTTGGAATGTAATGGACAACAGTGGGTGCATGTGCCTATACACAAAACCACCAAGAAATGATGTAAGCATATGATAATAAATATAATTTTTAATTTTTTAACTGAATACAGAAATATGTAGGGCAAGCTCAAAGTGCACAAAAGCCACAGAGTCGTGTGTGTGTGTGTGTATAAATCACACAGCACTTCATCCCATCACATGCACCAGCGTGACAGGGCACAGGACCCTGCTTCTCTGTGACCAAATGAAAGACAGTTCCTATAACAACCCTAAGAAAGCAAAAATCCAACAAGCAAAATAATAATCAAAGGAAGGGGAAAAAAAATATAAAGAACTAAGGAAAGTTGTTTCTGTTGTAGAAAAAGCAGGTTTTTTCCCCACAGTATAATGACTCATTTACAGAAAGGAAGTGAGTTTTGTTGAAAAATACTTAAAATATTCTCGAAGAGGGAGAAAGCAGTTCTTCACCAGCGTGGCGGGGCCTGCGGCGGAGGTCTTGCTTCGAGACCTGTCCTGAACCAGCAGGGACAGTTCCTCTTCAGCAGCCAGAGGTGAGTCCTTGCTACAAAGAGATAGGACACTCGTCACAGAGACAGTAGGCATCACAGAGTTATGCAAGCTCTCCACCCACGTGGGCCTCTGGGAGCAGAGCCAGCCACCACCAGGGAGGGTGGGGACACACAGCCCTGGGCTCACAGTAGGAGTTTAACATGTGCACATCAGAGATCAGGAGGTGACCACAATGATCCTGAGAACTCTAAGATAAACTTCTCTTTAAGATCCTTGCATCTTTTGTGATCTGTCTGTGTAATGGTAGAGTGTCTGCAGCATCACAGGATGAAGGGGAGCAGCCGCGCATCTGCCCCTTCCTTGGATGAAGCAGGTGGGGGAAGGGACTGGTTGAGGTCAGCACAAGGGCCAGCCCCGCCCAGGAGCCCTGATTTCCCATCTGGAAGCCACCCCAGGGCAGGATGCGGCCCTCCCTGGGCCAGCCTCCATACAAAGACACAACACACTGGGGCTGGGGGCCTGGGAGTGTCTGAATGCCTCATGTCTACAGGACTCTGTGGACTACTGATATGCAGAGCTCCCACAGCCATGTTCCCTGAGCTGCTGTGCTGGAGGTGGGTGGGGGTCGGAGGACACACCCCTGGGTGTGCCAGGGCACCCAGCTGGAGTCAGATTGTTTCTTGATTTCCTTACGTATCTCAAATGAGGTGCTCTGCCCAGGGCCCTCCCCATCCTTCCATCCTGGGCGGCTTGGGGACTATGTTGGTCCACCTGAGGGCTGGCAGTGGATGGCTACTTCCCATGAGGGTACCTCTCCACCCCCACTGCTCAGGGCTCCATCCAGCCTGAGAAGGAGGCATGGAAGAAAAGAGGCAACTGCTGCACTTGTGAGAACCAGAATGTGGCTCGGGGCACAAGGTCTGCTTGGGCACTGCACTGTCTACAGTGTTTTTTTTTTCTCTGAATTTTGTTCTCTTGGTTGAGCTCAGCACTGGCTCAACGTCCCTCACACTCTGAAAGGTCAGCACAATGAATACCTCCTCACGGCTGGGATGTTGCTCCACACGTGCACGGCGTTCTGAATGACTTGGCCACAGACATCTTTGATGGTCACAGGTTTGGTCTGAGGGGAAACACGGCTGTGAATGAGCCTGGCAGGACAAGAACCCCCAGTCCTCTCTCGTCACCCTCCCCAGCTCCCACAGGCCTCAGCGGCATGAGGCCCTTCCTGGCCCTCAGAATACAGTCAACAAACATTCCAGACTGACTGTCTCATCAGTCTGCCTACACGGCTTACAAATTCACAGAAATCACCTCAAGGTGGTGGGGGGTGGGGGGAAGCCAACGTAGCATTTTAAGACCACGAATCTACAGGCTTCCATCCCCACATGGTGGTGTTGCTATGTACCATTGAGCTGGAGCTGACTCATGCTTCTTCTCCGGTAGGGTTTTAGTAGCAATGAATCATGTGGGAGGAGATTGACCATATTTTTCCCATGGAGCAGCTGGTGGATTAGAACGGCCTGCCTTTAGGTTGGCAGTTGTTGTTGTTGTTATGTACCATCGAGTTGCTTGTGACTCATAGTGACCCTATGTACAACAGCCCCAAACCCTGCTCTATCCTGTGCCAATGGCACTGCCTCTGACACTCCCATCCCGATTTATTACTCATTATTATCATTCTTGCCCTCCTAAGCCATGAAAACTCATTATTCCTACATAGTTAACCTACCAAGTCAGACCTCAGGAAAAAAAAATATACGTATTTCCAGGCTACAACCATTTATCCAGATTCTTTTTTGAAGCAAGTTTAACACTGATAGCAAAATCCAAGCAGAGGTCATGTGGGGCAAGGAAACTAAACCCCAGCCTCTTTCATACTTTTGGATACAAGACTTCTAAATGAAATACTGCTCAACAGAATTAAGTCAGGTTCACCTCCGAGCGACACGAGGATTATTATTAGTATTAGAAAATATCTTAGAATATTTATTAGTAGATCTAATGGGGAAATTATCATATTGTATCCGTAACCATTAAAAAGGACTTCTGACAAAACTCTGCAGGTATTATTGATAGAAATGCTAGGAAAATGAGAGTCAGAAAAAAAGTTCCTTAGCATAATAAAATATATCTAAAAAGAAAGCTTACAACAACAACAATGTATTTTTTTATGTTTATGTCACCATATTTAAAATAAAATAGTGTTTATTTCTTCTTTGGTGAACCTGAAATGGAGTACGCAACAACAATATATGTAAGCCAAAATATAACAGTTGTTGTGGTGTCAACTCCAATTAATGACAACCTCCCATGTGTCAGAATACGTCTACGCTCTATGCTGTGATTTTAGGTGCCATGGGCCATGACTCATGGACCATGAACAACAGATCTGAACCTTGTCCTATGCTGGCATCCACACCATCTCCGTCATGCTCAAGTCCAATGTCATAGTCACTGTGTCAGTGTGGAGGGTCTTCCTCTCGTTAACTGACCTTTCCAGACATGATGTCTTTTTCCAAGAGCTGATCCTGACATCACACCCTAAGTGTGTGAGATGAAGTTCCAGCATCCTTACCTCTCAGGAGCACCCAGGCTGCTCTCATTCTAGGACAGACTGGTTACCTTGGCAGTCCATGGGATACTCTTTGTCAACATCACAATTCAAAGGCATCAGCTCTTCTTTGGTCTTCTTTTTTGGTGGAAATGCCATGGCTTGAGTCAAGCCCACATTAATCCTTAAGCTGACATCCTTGCTCTTTAGCACTGCAGAGAGGTCCTTGGCAACAGATTTCCCCAGAGCACCATGTCTTTTGATTTCTTGATTGCTGCTACTTGTAAATGTTGATTGTGGATCCAAGTAAAAGGAAATCCTTAACAACTCAATCCGTGCTCCACAGGGTTCCCAAATTTAAAAAGTCATTGCCATCAAGTTGGAACTGACTCATAGGAGGAGACTGCCCACCTTTCCCTCTTGGAGTCTGGTGGATTTTTACCCCCAGTTAGGCACAGCCTTTGGGTTTGCAGTACAACTGCCGATGGACCACATTCCCAGAGCTCCCTATTAGGGTCCACAGTGACTATCTCTTCAGAAGAAGATGGCCACGCCGTCCTTCCCAGACACTTGTGGGTGAACTTGAGCCTCCAGCCTTTTGTTGAGGAATCAATGAACCATTTGCACCACCCAGGGCTCCTAAAAAGATAGTTATTTCAGCTAAAAATCCAGCATCAGTTTAGTGTGAGAACACTTAGAACATTCTCACAGTCAAGAACAAGAAAAGAATGTGATGAAAGACTGTTGGAGAAGTGCTAGCCAAAACCATAGGCAAGAGAAAGGTATTTGAGGTATGTTGTTAGATGCCATCGGGTCAAATGTGATGGGTAGCAACTCTATGAACAACATATCTGAACCCTATCCTATCCTGTACCATCCTTATAATTTCTGACGTATTTGAGCCCATTGCTACGGTCAGGATGCAAGTCCATCTGGTTGAGATCTTCCATTTTCACTGACCTTCCATCTCCAAACATGGAGGGTCCCTTTCCAAGGAATACCACCTCCTAGCAACATGCCCAAGGTATATGAGATGGATCTTTGTCATCTTTGCCTCCAAGAAGCATTCTAACCATCCTTGTTCCAAGACCTATCTGTTTGTTCTTTTGGCTGCCCATGGGATATTCAGTACTCTTCCCCCACACCACAGCTCAAAGACATCAGTTCTTCTTCTGTCATCCTTATTCTTTGTCCAGCTCTCAGATGCATAACAAATGACTGGAATGGCCATGGCTTGAGTCAGGCACACCTTAGTCCTCAAAATGACATCATTGCTCCTCAGTAGTTTGGAGAAGTCCATGACTGCAGACTTTCCCAGTGCAATATGTCTCACTGATAGTGTCAATATTTTCTCCTGTCTGAAGCAGTTGGATTCTGGAAGATTAGTTGCTTTGTTTTTATTTAATTAACAGTCAAGTGTGAAGATTAATTTGCTATTAGAGTTACAAACTAAGTTGGCAGTTTGTTACATCTGGGGAGAGCGTTATTCTAATTGGTACGGCATTTGTCTGTTAGTTTGCTGTACTGAGATAACTTGTGAGTTGCTGTGATACTGGAAGCTGTGCCAGTGGTGTATCAAATGCCATAAGGACTACCCATGGTGGACATATTTTAGTAGTGCCCCTAGGTTAGGACAGACTAGGAAGCAGGATTGGTCATTCACTTCTTAAATTAAGCCTTTGAAAAACCTATGAAAATATGTCTTAGAGAGAGTGCAGCCAGAGTGCTCTTTGGAGGCAAGCATGGTGAGGCTTTGGTTCACATACTCTGGGTATATTTCTAGGATAGGCTATTCCTTGGAGAGGGACATGGTGCTTGGACAGGGAAAGGATCGATGAAGAAGAGGAAGACCATCAACCAGATGAGTTGACATAGTGACTGCTGCTTTTGTGTGTCAGGAAGTGTGAGGATGGCACAGGATAGGGCGGGGTTCAGATCCACTGTTCATAGGGTTGCTATGAGATGTCCTTGACTTGATGGCACCTAACAACAACAACAACATCATCATATTGCTCCAGGGGTAAGAATTTTGGCTTCTTGATGTTGAGATGTAATCCATTTTGAAGGCTATAGTTGTGTATTTTCTACAGCAAGTGCTTCAAGTCCTCATTTTCTGCAGGCAAGATTGTGTTATCTGAATAACTTGGAATGTGGACAAGTCTTCCTCTGATCCTCCTGCCACAGCTTTTGTTATAGAGTCTAACTTCCTGAATGATTTGTTCATTTGAAGTATAAAATTAGTAAAAAGATCCTGGTCACTCTTTGTATGATGATAAGATCAAATAGAAAGTTTAATTGAAATGGAAAATTACTACATTCTCCAAGGAACTCCAATAAGGAAGTAGGAACAAAATTAATGCAAAGGAATTAACAGTGCATACAAATAACAACCAGTTAAAGGGTAAGGTGGTAGATGCCACGTGCTATGGTGTTGTTATTAGGTGCCGCCAAGTCATAGCAAACCTATGAACAACAGACCTGACTCCTGTCGTGTCCTGTGGCATCCTCACCTCCTCTCATACACTTGAGCCCATGGCTGCAGTCATCATGTCAATCCATCTCAATGCTGGTCTTCCTTTCTTTCTCTGACCCTCTACCCTTCCAAGCATGATATCCTTTTCCAAGGAATTGGCTCTTCTAGCAACACGTCCATAGTGTTTGAGATGAAGCTTTGTCATCCTTGCCTCCAAGGAGCACTCCGGCTGCACCTTTTCCAAGACATACCTCTTCTCCAACATCATAACTTAAAGACGTCAATTCTTCTTCTGTCCTTATTCATCATTCAGATCTCAGGTACACAGTAAGTAATTGAAAAGACCATGGTCTGAATTCCCTGCACCTTAGTCTTCAAACTGATATCACTACTTTTCAGTATTTTCGAGAGATCCAAAGATAAAGTGCTTGGCAATAAACTTAACAAGAAATGTTTAGGACATTTTATGACACATTCTGTGCATGGCATGAAGGGAGGGTGGCCTCCTCATCCTCTCTTGGTGGAACCGTGAATCAGAACAACCCTACATATGGTGGGAAAGTTGGCAATATCTGTAACAACTACTAATCAATTTACCTTTTGACCCAGAAATCTCAGTTCTGGAATTTCTCCCATATTATAATTCTCATACACACTTCTTCATTGCAGTATTGTTTGTAAAAACAAAAGATTAGAAATAGCTCAATTACACACCAATAGAGAACAGACTAAATAAATCTTTAAATCTACACACATGAAAACTTAAAAGTTTAATGATAATGAAACTTTATGTTAAATAAAGTTAAAGCTTAATGTAAAAGAAAATCTCTTCATTTGATGGATGATGGGAGGGGTGGGTAAAGGTAAATGGGAAAGATCTGGTGTGAAAAACAATGTATATGAACTTTGTATGTAAACCAGTATAAAATAAAAAAAATTCTTTACATAAGTAAGAAAATTTCTTTCTCTCATAGTCTTTCTCTCTCAAACACACACACATACACAGAGAGAGAGTGAGTGAGAGAGAGAGAGTGTGAGAGAGAGAGATACAATTAAAGCACAGGATGAGGAAGCTACTTTTTGCAATGGAAAGGTTTCCAAAGAGTTGGTAAATGGAAAAAAGAAATGTGCAGAATGGTGTGTATACTCAGTTTTGTTTGTATTTGCAATTAAGGACTTTGGAAGGACAGTCAGGAAACCAAGGAATAGAACGGTGGAGGATAGGTGACTGGGGGTCAGGGGGAAGAAGGGACTTCTACTGTAAACTTAGATAGATTTGTCAGAAGTGTGAACAACATGCATGTGGTGGAGACGCCCTGATAGGAGGGAACATCAATTTATGACGGGGCAATCCTGTACTGAGGGCTGTGGAGGAGCCAGGAAGGAACTTGGGGCCATTGGCCCTGATGGATAGTTCTCTGAGTCCAAACGTGGCTGCTCTAATCACCAGGATTCACACACTTGGAGACAAACCACCATGCTATGGTGCCCTCAAGTGTGGATGTTGGTGTGTGAATGTATGTATGAGTGTCTGCACGTGTCGGGATGTGTACGCTTGTTCTCAGGTGAGCGATCATACATGAGAGTGGGGGTGAATGAGTGTGTGTGAGAGAGTGAATGTGTACTATGTGTGGTGTGTGTACATGGATGTGTATGTGTGAGTGTGCTGTGCACATGTGTAAAGACAGACAGGACAGGCTCAGGGGAGGGAATGAGCCCCACCTAGCCACACTTTGAGAACACAGTGTCACATGGGAGGCTCGTGTCCTGAGAGGCCCATGTGAGGCTGTGCCTCAGTTTCCAGGCCGAGGTGTCCCATGGAGGAGAGACACTCGCACAGGGGCACAGGATCAGAGAGACCCCTGCTCGGTTGTGCTTTCAGAGGACACCCTGCATTCACCTCCAGGAAGCGGGTTGCCACGACGTGGTCATCCACAGTCAGCACCAGATTGTCCACAAACATCCAGAAGAAGGGCTGTGGGCTGCCGGGCCTGGGCCGCGCATACTGCAGCATGCGGTGGAACTGGAATAGGTACCAGCCTGTGGAGGGAGGGCGGTGTCACGGACAGGCAGGCCGATGGGGGTGTGGCGTCAGGGGAGGGGTGCAAGAGGAGAGCTGTGATAAGACTTAGTGGGGTCCTGGGGGCCCACTCCCACTTGCCCATATTTCTAACTCTACCAGCAGCAATAAGAGCTTTTTGGGGCAGAGAGGGGCGAAGTCTCCACCCTCAGGCCGTAGAGCAGACTCATCCTAACCCAGCTGCCGTTTGGTCAGCTCCACTTGCTGTTATCTCACGTGTGTCAGGGTAGAACTGTGCTCCACAAGGTTTTCAATGCCTGATCTTTGGAAACAATACACCAGGCCTTTCTTCTGAGGTGCCTCTGGCTGGACCTGAACCTTCAGCCTTTGGAAGAGCAGCACAGCACACTTTCTGTTTGCACCACGCAAGGACTCCTTAAGAAATGATGGGGCTAGTCCAAAGAACAAGCAAGGGGGAAGGAGGCCCTGTTTAAACACAACTCCAGGGAACAGTAGGAGTTCTGGTGGCCTAGTGGGTAAGGTGTTGCACTGCCAGTCCAAAGGCAGGGAGTTCAAATCCACCAGCTGCTCCTCAGGAGAGCTATGGACAGGACAATCTCCTCCTACATGGTTTACAACCTCTGAAAACCTGCTGGAGGGTCAACCATGAGTTGGTTTTGATTCAACAGCACTGACAAAGTCGAGTCCAGGGACCACAGAATCCTATGGTGACATCTGTGGCTGCCTTGTGAGGGGCCTTGGGTAGAGCAGCAAGAGTGACAAGCGGGCTTGAGGAAGCCCTTGTGGGTGATGATGCACTCAAGCTGCATGCAGGCCAGAGCAGTGGTTCTGTACATACCAAAACTCATCTAACTGCACACTTTCGATATGTGCAATTTCCTCGATAAAGCTATGTTAAAAATGGAAACAATTTGAAATTTCTATCTTCCCAGGAGAGTCACAGGTGATACCGAGGAGGTGGCTGGGAGAAGAGGTGACTGAGTGACCCCAGTCCATGCTCTCTTACCAGGAGGCCGCTTGAAGGCACAGCCGCGAGACGGCGTTGAGCCGTACATGATGTCGAAAGGGCCCCACTCCTCCACCTGCAAAAGACAGGTGCTGGAGAAGGCTGTGGGCATGCTCTCACCTTAGCAAGAGGCTGGTGAGCACTGAGGGCAAACGTTCCTTCTAGAAAACAGAGGCTAACTGGGCACATGCTCAGCTTGAGGTACCCATACAGTCCAGAAACACCACGGCAGTGACAGGGCCCAGGGCAGACCTGCCACAGACATCCCCATCACTGTCACACTACCTGTGACTGAGCCGTGAACACTGGGAGGCTGGGACTCTGAGAGGCCCCTCCACACAGCAAGCGGTACCTGTGGCTACTCTCTGTACTAGGCATTGCCCTTCAAAGAACTGGTCCTGGGAGGGTGACACACTGGACCCCAAGGTTCAAGTGAGTGTGATATATGTTGTCTGTTGTGTGCATTTTTCAGTGCATGTATATTCCACTTTGTGGTTGTCTGCTGTGTTTGGCTGAACATTGTGTGTACTGTCTGCTGAAAGGTTGTCGGTTGTGTCTGGTGTGTGTGTGTGTGTGTGTGTGTGTGTGTGTGTGTGTGTGTGTGTATTGCTCAAGAAAAAAACCAGACCTGCTAACAGCCATGCTGTGTGCTCCCTGGTGAGCACAGCCAGTTCCACAGAACATCAGCAATCAACCACTCCACAACTGTGGAGGAAGAAGACAACTCTACAGTCACATCTGATCATCAATAAGACAAAGACACTCTAATCACAAGAGTAACTCAGGATTCCCACTCTGGGAAGACATGAAGGATTCTTATTTCTTTTTCTATTATGCCTTTAGCCTGCAAGCTACAGAAGAATTAATCTTGTTATTGTCATGTGCTGTTGAGTCACCTGTGACTCAGAACAACCTTGTGCACAGCAGCTCTGGACCCGGTCCTGTCCTGAGCCAATCGCACTGTCTCCAACACACCTGCCCCTATTCCCTCAGTCACTGTGTCAATCCATGTCACATGGGGTCTTCCCTGCCTGCGCTGTCCCTCCATCCTTCCAAGCATGATGTCCTTCTCCAAGGACTAGTTCCTCCTAGCTATGTGCCCAAAGTATTTCATGGAGCTTCAAAATCCTTGCCTCCAGGAAGTAGCTTGGTTTCACCCTCTCCAGGACAGACCAATTTGTTCTCCTGACAGTCCATGGTACGTTCAATACACTTCTCTAGTGCCACAACTCAAAGGCATTGATTCTTCTTCTTTTATCCCTAGTCATTGTCACCACAATTTCCTAATAACACTCAGGCCAGAACAGACCCATATACTTTCCCTAAATCACTTAGCCAAAGCCCAAATGCCATGAACCAAACCCACATTCTCCTTTCAGAGAAGCCAAATGTTTCTTAAGCAAATTCTATCCTACTACTGCAACCTGACAAGCCCTCCTGCATTTGACTGCAGAGTGTGCCTTATGGTCTACGAGAACTGAGATGAAATATGACAGGTGGGGGTGCGGACAGGATGCAAGGGAGGTGAGAGTCGGTGGTGACCCAAGACTAACACTGCCTAGCAGTCTACACACAAGCGGCTACTGTTTTCATATCCACCCGCCACCCCACGCCCAGCTAGTATAAGCTATGACTGAGCAGGTTGTGCTGCTGAATGGAAGAGGAGGAAGAAAGCAGTGTCTTGAGGGGAACATCCAGTTTTCCCCAAGCGGGTGCCCTTGATCAGAACAGGAAGTCCTCTGAGCTATCCCCAGGTGTGGGGTTGGAGGCTGTGAAGGCGCCCGCCTGGGAGCCCAGCCTCGTGGGTCAGTGTGCAGATCCTGCCCCTGGTGTGCGTTCTGTTTCCCGTCTCTGCAAAGCATGTTGTGTCTCATGATGCATTTCAAAGTGTTTTGGGAAGAGGAGATGAAGTCAGGAGTAGTAGTTTTGGCACCAGCTGACTCTACCCGCCTGAACCATAATTACTCTCACTAAGAGAAAGTTCATCATCAGCGGTACGGTTCTAGGAGTCTTAGCTCATTGTATCTCCAAGTTCCCTGTAATTGTGCTAAGATTAACATCTGCAGAGGCCTGACACGGTCCCTTTCTTGAATGTCCAACCCTCAGAGGGAGGCTGATGCTGTGATGACACCCCTGCCCCAATAGGGGAGCAGCCCAGAGTGGCCCCATGGAGGGAGGTCTAAAGGAACACTGCGGGTGGGGTCATGGGGTCAAGGGTTTGGTGAGGCCCACAGGGGTGAGTATGTGGGGCATGCCTTCACACATGGACATCAGGATGGGGGCCCCCAGACAGTGAAGCCTGTGTCTCTCCAAGCATGACTGGGAGATGGGTTCCCAGGCCAGACGAGGCTCTAAGGGGCCCCTGGAGGCTCTAAGGGGTCTCTAGAAGCCAAATAGAATCTTTACATGGACTTCTTTCCTGCCTATTGACCCCCTTTCCAGTTCCCTGCTCTCCAGCCCTTCTCAGCCCTTCCCAGCACCCTCCTCCCCAGGCCCTGGAATCTCTTGGCCCTTTTGCCCCTTAATCTCCCTGCTTCCCTGGATCCTTGCCCCACTGACCTCTATGTATCTCAAACCTTTTGCCCTTCGGGGTCCTAGCTCCTCTGCTTCCCAGGCCTCCCTGCCCCCACCCATGGTCACAGAAGCCCTGCATCCTCGCCCTCCCACCTGAGAACCTAGAGGCTGCCCTGCTCTCCGATCTGCTTTCAGACACTGGGGAGGAGGTAGGAGGCAGGAGCCTCTTGACCTTGTCCTTTCCAGCCCATGACAGGCCCAGGCCCTTCCACCATCACAACTGAGGCCTCCCTGCTCAGGACCTGAGGTGACACAGGGACTGGTGGGGACTTTTTCTAGGAGGCTGAAGACTGGCACCAGGAGATGTGCCCCAGAGAAGCCTCAGCATAAGCACATTCTTTGAACACGCCTGGGTCTCAGAAGATGACAGGGAAAAAGAGCCCATTCCTGGGGCTGCACCTTGTCCTTTCCACATAGGTTTTCAAAGTGGCATTCATCCCACCAAAGACTCTATGTTTTGGTATTTTCAGTGTATTTCAGATGGAGAAGTAGGCATAGTCCCTCTTGGCTGAGCAGTACCCCCCGTTATGAAAACCACTGCTGTTCCAGCTGCAAAAGTCCTGGCAATGCCGTGTGGTGGAAACATGCCAAAACACTGGATGAGGAGGTCTGCCCAGCAACCACCTGCTCTTGGCTTGGGCGATTGTGGGGACCATGAGAATGTCTCCTACAATGGGGTGACCTCAGTGACTGAGCCAGCCAACGACTGTTCCCTGGAACTCATTCCCAGGACATGCCCAAGGACCTCCCTGCCTGACCCTGGGGCGGTGCTATGTGCAGGCCCTTCCCCACCTTCCTGCCCACCCCGTTTACCCGTCTTCTCCAGTTAGTCTCTCTCGTTGGCAACCCCTGACCCATTGTGGGCAGCACTTACATCTCTCCTCACTATGTCGGTGACGTCATCCAGGTATTTCAGTTGTCCGTGAGCAGAACCACCCTCCAGAAAGCCCAAGCTCACCAGCTCTGTACAGAGAGAGACAGGGAAACAGAGAGACTAACTGTAACTCCGATCCTCAAACTCGTTGCCTTCAAGTCAGAAACAACTCATAGCTGACCCAGTGGCAGGTTTGCAGAGGTTTAGAGAGATTACACATCTTTCTCCCAGGAAGCAGCCGGTGGGTTCGAACTGCTAGAGGCACCAATTTGGGTTACAGTGCTGCTCCAATACCAGAACCAGAAATATGGGAAGTGTTAGATTTATTGGGAGCATACAGACTCAAAAACCCCATGCAAAGCGGCACATATGGGATAGAATGAACACCAACACCAATACAACAGCATGTAATTAAATAAGAAAACTGTACTTTCTTAATGGCATGGTGAGGGACTAAAGCTGAGGGTTTCACTCTCACGGTTTGTCATATTGTTAGTAAAGCAAGCAAGCTTCACTACTGACTTTAGAGACTTAAGCCTATTGGGGCTCCTGGTCGGTGCGGCAACTAATGTGCTGACTATCGACTGAGAGAGGTTGGTGGTTCAAGTTCACCCAGAGGTGTCTCGAAAGCAAGATCTGGACATTTGCTACTGACCAATCAACTACCAAAAGCTCAGAGGGCACAGCTCTGCTCTGACACAGGCGCCGTCTCCATGAACTGATTCAGGGGAAGCCAGTGATTGATGTTAAGGGGTCGCTAATGATTCAGTGCTTAATTTGCCAGACGAACTGAAAGATCAACAGTTCGAATCCACCAGCTGCTCCACAGAAGACAGATAAGCAGTCTCTTCCTGTAAATACTACAACCTCAGAACCCCACTGGAGGGGTTGCTATGAGTCAGAATTGACTTGACACAGTGGGTCTGGTGTGTGATCACCCAAGCTGGATTCACAGACAAGGAGCCTCACAGGGAGCCACCACCCATCAGGGCGTCTGCTTGGGCTTGTCGTCAGGGGAGCTAGTTCTTGGAAAAGGACATCATGCTGGGAGGGGATGAGAGCCAGAGAAACAGAGAAAGATCCCAACAAAATGGGGTGACACGGTGACTGTCCCAACGGACTTGAGCACATCAGAGATGGTGAGGCTGCTGAGGGACCGGCCAAGCTTCAGATCTGTTGTGTGTAGGGGTCACTATGAGTCAAGACGACCCAAAGGCACCCAACAACGACAACAACTACAACAACCTGTCGGCGGAGGCTTGCATGTGGCTACGATGCTGAGCAGGGTTCCACAGAACGTCTAGAGTAAGAAAAACTGTGAAGACAGACTTGGCAGCCACTTCCCAAGATCAGCCAATGAAAACTGTATGGTCTACAAGGTCGGACCTCAGCTGATCGCAGGCATGTGCGGGACCGGGCAGCATTTTCTTCTATTTCGCATGAACATGAACTTGAATCATGGGCTGACTCCACGGACATTAACAACACTGACTGCAGAGTCAGGTGCTCCTGGGCTGCAGCGTCACCCAGTGTGTTAGGAAATGTGCTGGGAAGCGGGGCCCACGTTGGCTGTGAGACAGGCAGGTCTGGGCTGCAGGACACCAAGGCCACATGAGGGGAATGGGAAGACAGGAACAGGCCTTAACAAAGAACTCAGAGAAGCTGCATCTCTGATGGAGAGACCACATGGCAGTCACATACCCCAATTACTACTGTTCCCTCCAGCTCACTGCCCAGAAGCGTGACCCAGGGCAAGCTGCCCCCTCTGGGGTAAATGGACATCATGCCACTACTCCCATCTGCAGTATGGGATTGTTGTGAAGACTTGATGAAGGACCCTTAGCCAAAGCTCGGAGCGGAGCTATCCCTCAACTCGGTTTACTGAGACTACAGGCTGTCCTTGTGGATTCTTCCTGTTCCCGTTTGACCCAGAAGAAAAGGTGGGAGTCATGGGTTGGGTTGCATGCCCCAAAACATATGCTAAAGTCCTAATCCTCCTGTGTCTGTAAATAGAACCTTGTTTGGAAATAGCAGTTTTGAGGATCTAACTCATTAACATAAAATCCTACTGCGCCCTGATCTGAGTAACTGATATCATTGTAAAATAAGAGAAGATACAGAGCTAGACACACCAGGAGGTTGAGCTGGCTGTGTGAGAGACAGCGATCGATGGATCGGAGCAATACCTCTGCAAGTCAGGGAGCCCCTGGAGCCATCAGAAGCCAGGAGGGAGGCCTGGGGCAGGTCTACCCTCTGCCTCAAAGGGAACCACCTAACTGAGAACATGATCTTGGACTTTCAGCTTCTAGAATTGGGCATGTTTGTTTTGCTCTAAGATACCCACTTTATGGTAATTTACATTACCATAGTGCCACCCCTGGACACTCAGGTCATGGAAGCCACTGAGACACCAGCATCTGGAGGTTAGCACAGGGCCCACTGGCAGGTCAGACACTCAAGGTGGGGTGGCACCCATAGGTGGCTTGGTGGGACCAGGTATCAAACAATGACCCTGAGAGAAGTGTGACCCTTGGTTTCAGGTAGACCAGATCAGTTTAATGAGGAGCTGGGCTCACTCTTCCTCGTTAATGACTTTCAATACCATTCACCTTTTTGCTTGCTTCCCCCCACCCTGTATTTTTATACATTTAATTATCCAAATACACTAAGCTTCACTCATGTACATACTGGGGGTTTTGTGTGTGTGTTTCACACTTTCCTTTATTGACTCTATGTTTCATACAATCATTCCCACATCTTGTATTTTATAAAATTAATCGCCATTGGACTATGACCACCATTACCCTGTCTTTTTCACACTGAATCTTTCCCATTTCCTTTACCCCTTCCTCTACTCACCAAAGATGTGACCCTATGATTTCACCCCTACTTGTCCTTACCCCTCTGCTCCCAAACCTTCCTCCCTTGCCCTCCTCCAACATTTTACTAGTTATCCTTCTATTTTTTTATGCACTTTCTTTTTGAATGCTTCTCTCTTGAGGGGAAGGACCCTCCACCTCTCCCAGCATGATGTCTTTTTCCAAAGACTGGCCCTCTTAACATGCCCAAAGTCTGTGAGATGGAGTTTCACCATCCTTGCCTAGAAACCCCTGAGGCGCAGTGCTACCGTCACATGGGGGATTGGTCTGGACTGATGGGACCTAACCCCAGCTCCTGGGACGAGGGAGTACACTAAGGGGAGTAGGACACAGACTGGGGACTGTGGCCCTAAGTGTCATCTCCCCCTCCCCAGCCTGAGTGAAAAGATCATGTGCATCACCACCAGCTCTCTAGCTTTGCCTTGCAGACACCTCCCTGCCTCGTGGAGAGGACCCTCTGGTGATTCCCTCAGATGATGGCCCCTCCGCACTTCAAAGCTCAGTTTGCCTCAAAATTCTCTAGAGCGCTCCAGCCCTTCCAACTTCCTAAGCCCCAAGTATCAACTTTCAGGGCTGTTACATACGCTCTTTGTAGTTGCTCAGGGGTCACCTGTGCTTCCAGCTCAGGGTAGGACTCTTGAGAACAGGTGCCATGGACACTTTCTCCTCCAGCCCAGATGCCCTGAAGACCCACCTTCAGGACAACCCTGAACTCACCTTCCTGAATGTCCCCAAAAAGGGACAGCACCCGGACTGGCTCTCTCTTCCATGCAGGCACGGTCTTATAGATTTCAAAAGGACTCTCCTGTTCATCAAGGAAAAAAAAGAAATTTTCCCAACCACTTGTGGTTGTTGTGTATTGTAAAATCAGAATCGACCCAGAGCTGACCCTCCAGTGGGTTTTCAGAGGCAGTTAATCACATCAGAGGAGAATGCCCATTCTTCTCCCGTGGAACAGCTGGTGGATTTGAACCACATGCTTTCAGGGTTGTAGTGCAGTTTCTTGCCATCAGGCCACCAGAGCTTCCTACCACTTATTTACAATTAAAATTGCAGCCCAGCAGAAGAGCTCCCCTTGCTGAGCCAAGGCAGGGCTGCCAGCGTGGCCACCCTGGCTGGTTCTAGCAGTAACACTACAGAGGAAGAAAGGAAGAAAGGGACTCAGAGCCATCTCTACCCTTAAAGAAAGACAATGCTGCCCTCAGAGAAACACTCATTTTGTCATTCTCAAATTCGGAGGCTTAAACCCAGGAAATTCCAAATGTGCTGCTTCCATGGGAGGCTCTGAGCTCATCATATCTGCTTTCCAGGCACCAGCTTCCCATCGTATGTGCGGGGCCTGGCTCCAGCGAGCTGCCTGATGCTTTAGCACACAGCCACCAGCACTTGCATGTCACAGTGCCTGTGAGCACCAAGGGCAGCAATCAGAATTCAGCCACAAAGAAGCCCCACTGAGCACACAGCTGCTCACACTAGACATTGGAACACCACCTCCCAGCCACAGTCCTTCCAGACAAACATGGGGTTGGTTCACTCCAGAAACAGGTCTGGATCACCAAAGATGACAAGAATGAGGAGGTCACACCTGGGGGGGGTGCCCAACTCCTGAAAATGCAATTGAGAAGTTGAGATTGAGGTTGGGAGCTTGAGAAGGTTAGGTGGTCTGAGCTGCCAGAGAAGGGGAGAGGGCAGGGAGGAGAGCAGGCCAGGGATGAAGGCAGGGCCAAGAAGAGGGCAGGGCAGGGAGGAGGGCAAGGCAGGGCAGGGAGGAGGGCAAGGCAAGGAGGAGGGAAGGGCAGGGAGAAGGGCAAGGAGGAGGGAAAGGAGAAAGGGCAGAGAGGAGAGCAGGGCAGGGAGGGGGGCAGGGCAGGGTGGGAGCCCAGCACTGGGCTTATCTGGGTTTGCATAGGTTATGAGGGTGCAGTACTCAGGGTGTAATGGACATTTTGGGGACACAAAGATGGTGAGCACTCATGACCTGATTCATTGAAACTCAAAGTCAAGTGGCTTCTGTCCAACTTGAGATCATTTGTTTGGTTTTATTTCACATTTCTTAATTATGTGCCATTGAGTTGGAACCGACTCATAGTTGACTGTCCAGTAGGTTTTCAGATGCAGTAAATCACACAGGGGAGACTGGTCATCCTTCTCCTGTGGGGCTGATGGTGGATTAAACCTCATGTATTTGAGATTACCATGTAGTTTCTTACCACTAGGCCACCAGAGCTCCCTATTTCTGTCTTTCTTTTTACACACAAGCCATTAGCTCCCCATTTGTTAATAGTTGAACTGTATAATGAAATTCCTCCTGAGCTTTCAAGCATAGGGATTGTTCTTATACTGAGATTCAGAGTTCCTATCATTAATGCACTTGGAAAGAAGGGAACTTGTTTTGTTTTCAGACAAGCACTGTAAAACTGGTGACCTTGTCTAATGTAAACACACCGTGTTAGTGTCCTAGAGCTGCTGTCACAAAGCACCTCACATATGGTGGCTTGTAAGAACAGAAACATATTGCCTCCAGGTTCTGGAGGCAGGAGTCCCAGCTCAGGGTGTCAGCCTGAAGCTCTGAGGGGAAACCTGTTCCAGACCTCAAGTTTCCCACGTCTGATGGCTCCAGGTGTCCCCTGACCTGTAGATAATCTCTCCAATCTCTTCCCCTCTTTCCACCTTACCTTTTTTCTGTGTGTCTCAGTCCCCTCTCACTTCTCTTATAAGAACACCAGATGGATTTAGAATGCACTCTACATCCAGGCAGTCCATGGGATAGTCAGCCTTCTTCAACACCACAGCTCAAAGGTATCAACTCTTCTCTCATCCTTATTCATTGTCCAGCTTCAGATGTACAGGAATGATTGAAAAGACCATATCCTGAATCAGGTGCACCTTAGTCCTCAAACTAATACAAGGAAGTCCAGTGAATGCCACCATCATTCAAATATATGCACCATCAACAAAGAGGAGGAAATAGATTTCTACCAACTTTTGCAGTCAGAGATTGAGCGAACATGCAATCAAAATGCATTAATAATAATAGGTGGCTTGAATGCAAAAGTTGGGAAGAGAGAAGAATGATCAGCAGTTGGAAAGCATGGATTTGGTGACAGAAATGAAGCCAGAGATAGAATGGCAGAATTTTGCACAATCAACAACTTATTTCTTACAGATATACTTTATAAGAAACATAAACACAGGCTATACACATGGATTTCCCCTGATGGTACGCATAGGAATCAGATCGATTACGTCTATGGAAACAATCACTTGAGAAGCTCAATATCAGTGGTGAAAAGTAGGCCAGGTGCTGATTATGGAACAGATCACCACTACTCATATGCAAGTTCAAGCTGAAGCTGAAGAAAATGAAATCAAGTCCACAGGAGCCAAAATTTGACCTTGAGCCTATCCTATATGAATTTCAAAACCATCTCAGGAACAGGTTTGGAGTCCTTGATGAGCATGAAATATCATTGCTCCTCAATAATTTGGAGAGGACCCTGCCTACAGACTTTCCCAGTGCAGTATGTCCCCTGATCTCCTGACTGGTGGTACCAGAGTATTGATTATGAATCTGAGTAAGATGAAGTCATTGACAGTTTCAATCTTTTCTCCATCTATCATGCTGTTGTCTATCAATCCAATGGCGAGAATTTTTGTTTTCTTGGCATTGACACACAATCTATATTGAAGGCTGCAGTCTTTTATCTTCTGCAGCAAGCACTTCCAGTCCCCCTCACTTTCAGCAAGCAAAGAACCAGAGGATTCTTGGAGACAAAGATGATAAAAGTTTATCTCACATACTTCAGGCATGTTTCCTAGGAGAGGCTACTTCTTGGAGAGGGACATCATGTGTGGGAAGGTTGAGGGATGGTGAAAGATTGGAAGACCCTCAACAGGTGAATTGACACAGTGACTGTAGCAATGGACTCAAGTGTGTCAGAGATGATGAGGATGGCACAAGATAGTACAAGCTTCAGATCTGTTGTTCATAGGGTCACTATGAGTCGCACTCAACTCAATGGCTTCTAATATAAACTACACCCAGGAAGGGCAGCTCTGGTGGCTTAGTGGTAAGGAGTTGTGCTGCAAACCCAAAGGCACATGGTTTGAATCTACCAGCTGTTCTATGGGAGAAAGATGGGCAATCTTCTCCCATGTGATTTACTGTTCCTGAACAACTGCTGAAAGGTGAGTTATGAATCTGTTCTAATTTGAGGATACACACAAGAGCTACTCCCAGGATGATCTTACCCTGCAAAGACTCCCCTTCCAAAGTCATGTTCACAAATACTGGTTAGGACATAGATACATTACTTTGCTGATACAATTCAACCTATTACTCTATGATGGGGCCACAGCTCCTGTCTGGTTCCCAGGCTCCTAAGCTTGGCCATGGGAGGCCCCATATCTGTGTGGCTGTCCTGGGAACCATGGTTGACCTCTCCTGGACTCATTTTCCTACCTGCTGGAAATATCTCATTCCCAGACTCGTAAATGCAATTGCCATGCCAGAATGACTGTGAAAAACAGACCACAGAGTGTCATCTGCTCCCCAAGAGGAACATGAGTAGGAGCATTTACTTAAAAGCCTTTCACTTGATTATGCATCAGAGCAAATGGGCATCTTGCAACTAGTAAGCAAAGGGAAGGTGTCTGTGGGTGCACCACGAAACACAACTCTGCCTGGTCCTGTGTTCACCTCCCCTCAGTCACACCAGACCCTTCTGATCTACTGGGTTTCCTTCCATGGGCTTTTGAAAGGAGAGCACCAGGCATTTCTTACTAGTCTCTTTGTTGTTGTTATGGACCATCAAGTTGGAAACGACTCGCAGCTAACCTCCAGTGGGTTTTCAGAGGCAGTAAATCTCACAGATGGAGATTGCCCATCTCTCTCCTAAGGAACAGCTGGTCGATTTGAACTATGTTCCTTTGGATTGGCAAGACAATTCCTACCACAGAGCCACCAGAGCTCCCTAGTGTTTTATCATTTACAAGATGTATGTCTTATTAAAGATACAGTAAGTTCCTGTTCCACTTCTGCTCAGTTCTGTGAGCTCAGAGGCACCCACTTCTTACCACCTCCCGGTCGTGGAAGGCCTTCAGCCGCGTCCGCCATTTCTTCCTTCTCTGCAGCAGCCCATTGCTGGGGAGGGGCAGGCACAGGAAGCACACCCAGTTAGTCATGGCCTGAACTCTCCCCGAGGTCCCGGGGCTGACCAGCGAATCCACACACTCGAAACAGTAGCACCTAGAGTCAAACAGAAAACCACAGGCGATCAAATGGGGTTTCTCTGGTCACCCGCGAAACCTCAGGGCTCCTCCTCGCTTTTAAATAAACAACAGAAATTATACCCAGGACTCATTGTAAAAGGTAAAGGTAGCCTTTCAGTGGCTGCCCCAGGGAAGGAACACGGTGTGGTGCATGTGGTGAAGGAGGGACTGCTGAGAGTATCGGAAGCCAGGAGACTAGGGGACCGAGACGTGCCATTTTAAGGGCAACGGTGTCTCTCCAAAAGTTCTTTAAACCACTGCCTTACTCCAACTCCTCCAATTCTGAAGACTGAGCTTAAGAATCTCCAGCAAAATCAAATGCAGGAGCATCCAGATGGGGGACAGAATTTGGGGCATGCAGGAGTCACAAAGACAATAATGCCCTAGAAAGACAAAAGCAAAGGGGATATAAAGATAAGAATGACCTACAAAGAGCTAAACAGAAGGGAGAGGCAGCAGGCGATGGGCACACGCATGGGGCTCTGTTTGGGGGGTAATGACCGTGGATGAACATGCTCCTTGTCTTCTTCTGGTCATGGGTGTGCAGTGTCCATCCCTGACCTCATAATGACGAAGGAACAGTTATGTCTTTGCAATAGTAACAATAAAGAGAAATACCACAAACGCAAATCAGCCAGCTTACCTGTCTGACTAGGATCTACAGCCACTATAATATTTGAGAAGGAACTGACACTTGGAAGGGCATCTTTCTCTTTAGGGGTGAGGGGAATTCCTGCATCTTGGGCTCAGATGGGCTGAGAGGGATGGGAGATTTCTAGACGTGTGGGCAGTGATTTCTTTGTTCCTCTCCCCTTGGCCACCCAGTCTCAGGGGAGCTGACCCCGGGGTGTGGGTGCCTTGAGGCTCACCGGGTGCAGTCGGGGTTCTCGCAGATAAGCAGCGTCTCACCCGAGCAGCAGATGGAGCAGTAGGACTGGTACCCGTCATCATCGTACAGGAAGAGGCCCTGCAGGAACTTGTCCTGGGTGAAGAGTAAAATGCGGCTGGCTCCGTCTCTGCCTGGAGGCCATGCTGAAGCCACCATGCCTCCCACTTACCTTACACGGAGCACACATTCCTCCTTCGAACAGAGGGTGCTCTGTCCAGACCTGGAAACTCCCGCAGCAGATGCAGATGTCTAATGAGAACATTCACGTTACAACGTCACCCAAAAGAAAGACACACTTAAGGATGGCTGTTAGTTACTGTAGAATCGGTTCTGACGCACAGAGACCCCAAGTGCAAAGTACAACTAACTAACTGCTCCACCAGGTTTTCAAGACAGGGCCCCTGGAAAGCGGACCACAAGGCCTGTCTTCTGAAGAATGTCTAGGTTTCAAACCATCAACTTTTCAGTGAATAGTCAAGTCCTTACTCAGATGTGCCACCAGGGGCCCTTAAACAGCTTTATCCAGAGTGTGCACTGAAACTCACCAGTATACCAAAAATCTAGCAAATGCAAGACACATCAAGTCTATGGATCAAAAGCTTAGTATTAAAATAGCAACACTCTTCAAATTAATCTACTTACTGATCACTATAAAACCCCAGTTAGCATTTATCCCTCAGAAATTAAACTGATCCTAAAATCCAAATGGAAATGCAAAGGATCCAGAATCAATCAATCCATAGGGAAACAAAGTGGGCCTGTGGTTGCTTAAGCTGATAATCAAATGGTTAGGGGTTCAAGTCTATCCACAAACCCCTGAGATGAAAGGCCTGGTCGTCCACTGAAGACATCAGCCGCTGAACACCTGAAGAACTCAGCTCCACTCTGACACATGTAGGGTCCCCATGAGTCAGTGTCAATTTCAGGGCAATGAGTGGTGGTGGCGGAGGGAGGATGGAAGGGGGACGGGGAGAAGTGAGTGATTATTGGTGGACATGAAGTTTCTTTATGAGGTGAAAAATGTTTTAAAATTAAATAGTGATGGTTGCAAAATTCTATAAATACACTTATTTAAAAAACCCATAAGATTGCATGTTAAATGAAGCCACAGGGAGCCTGGGTGGATAGAGGGGCTAGAACAGGGCACGCGGGGTGTCTGCTGCCTTCTTCCAGCAATGGCGGGGTGCCGATGCTGAAGCCACTATTTCTGCTTACCTGGTCATGGGCTGGTATGTGACCACTCACCTTCTATGTGCCGCTGCTTAACCCTGACTTCATATGCAATCAGATCTGGAAAACAAAGTGAAGTGACAAGAGCACCTTTGTTCTTCATGGTTCCTGGTTTAAATGTGACCGAGCGCACACAGCATGTGTGCCATCCTATGTCAAAAGGGTTCCAGGATTCCATCTATCCCATCGTGTGCAGGATGCCAGCATAAGGACCATTCCAGAAGGCTGGATCTCTAGACATTACCAGGCCGGCCCAACATGGGTGTGTGCCTGAGAAATGGAGAACCCACCTCTGCCTGACTGGGGAGAGAGGGGCCTCGACAGCTCACTGGAGTCCACGAGGATCACCTCCATGCTCTGCTCTTCCTCCAGGTCCAGCACTAGTCACAGCCAGGGGTCAGCAAGCCATGGGAAGACAGGACAGAAGGACACACAGAGAGAGTTTGTCTGAAAGGCCTCGCACTAGAGTTGGGGAGAAGAGCAGAAAGCACCCAGGATGGCTTGCTCCCCCTGTGACACCCACCTCCTGACCCCATGGGAGAGGGGCAGGAAGAATGCTGGCTAGTGGTGAAAGGGGTGTCCGGGGCCCTGTGTGGGGCCTGCTGTTGGCCCCATCACTCCTTCTCAGCCCAGATCCTCAGCAGTGTCCCCACAAAGAAGAGGGGAGGCCTTGCAGGAGAACTTGGATGGATCACAGACATTTCTCCCACCCCTTCTCTCTCAATGGGCTGGAAAGAAGGGCAAGAGGCTCACGGATGTCACAGGTCGGTCCCCACGGCTCCTCCTCTGGCCCATCCCCACAGCTGGCAGGGTCTGAGCAGTGGTCCAGGTCTGGCTCTCCGTCAGGGTCCTCCAGGAGCTCCAGGCTCAGGGCCCCCGGGGAGGGCAGGGCCATAGGACAGAGGACAGTGCTTCCTAGGAAGCAGGAAGAGCACACAGAACAATGCCTGCAGCTGAAAGGGCAGAGACCTGTGGGGTGGATACTTCAGGAGTGCTGGGCGAAGGGCGCAGGTTCTCACATCAGGTGAGGTGCGGGGGCGCTGCTGCGGGGGAGGCAGGGGCGGAGGTGGGGGAGGCGCTCAGAGTGGAGAGAGGTGAGGTGAGGGGTCAGACTCAATGCAGAGGGCCCAAGACAGAGTGGGAGTTAAGGAGCTCAGTGGTGAGGGGCTCAGGGCGAGATGGAAGTAGGGATTTGAGGAGGAAACGTGCTAAATTGGAAGGTAAGTAGGAAGAGGTGCTTACTGTATGAGAGGATGGGGTGAGGATTCTGAGGGGTGCTCAGGATAGGGGTGTTGCTCTCAAGGCTCAGGAGGTGGGGGAAGGGGACTTGGAAGGCTCAGAGCAAGATTCTATTTGTGAGGAGGTCAGCGTGAAGCTGTGGGATTGGGACCTCCATGTGGGGAGGTTCAATGTGGAATGGGGAGAAGGGACACTCACTCAGTGTTGAAGCCGAGATGAGAAGATAACATAGAGGGGTGACCCTGGGAGTGGAGAGCTGACAAACACCCCTCAGCCATGGTCAGCCTCAGCAGTGATGAGTCATGCCGTGTCCTCCATATGAGAGAATGACACTTCAGCTCTCTGATTGTCCTTGCTGAAACCCATAACCCCAATCTAGTCATACACATCAGACAAACCCTAATGGAGGGACAGCCACAGTACCTGGTAAGTGTGCTTCAAAACAGGGTCATCACCACATGAAAAATTGTCACAACCCAGAGGAAATGAGGGGGCTTGGCAAGTAAATGTCCTGTGGTGCCCTGGTGAGGACAGAACAAGGACATGAGGTCACAACAGCAACACTGTTACAGAATGGACCAAGTGAGTCGGTGCTGCTGGAGGGGGGCTGCTCCCTCACATCTGGGTCTTGTCTTCCTGTGGGACATAACCAGGTCCTAGAGTTCCAGCATCACATAAGGCCACTCAGTGTCTATGATGGAGTGAGACACAGTAACCATGGAAAAAACCCTTGAAGGCCCTGTGGCGCTCCACTACAGAGCCAAACAGCGCCCTCTCCTGACCAAAGTGAGGAACTTCTCTGCCCCTAGAGGACCAGCCGGGCAACAACCAACTCCACTGCATCAAATGGGCTCCAGCCCTGCAAGGCAGAGCAAGCTGATCCACAGGGTTTCCAATGTAGCGAGTTTTTGTTTTTATTTTTTATTTTATACAAGTTTGCTTACAAAGTTCGTATACATTGTGTTTCACACTATTCTTCATTTACGCTGTGTTTCTTACAATCATCCCCATGCATTGTTATGTGCTGTCAAGTTGCCTACAACTCAATAGCAACCCTATGTACAACATTCCTAAACCCTGCTCTGTCTTGAGCCAGCCTTACTGTCTCCAACGCACCTATCTTCATTACCCCAGTCACTGAGCCAATCCAGCTCATCGAGGGTCTTCCTCTCTTGCGCTGTCCCTCCACCTTCCCAAGCATGATGTCCCTCTCCAAGGACAGGTCCTGCCTTGCAACATATCCAAAGTATGTCAGACGAAGCTTCAGAATCCTTGCCTCCAAGGAGCAGCCTGGTTTCATTCTCTCCAAGACGAATCTGTTCATTTTCTTAGCAGTCCATGGTATATTCAACACTCTTCTCCAGCACCACAGCTCAAAGGCATCAACTCTCCTTCCATCATACTAGTCATTGTCCAGCTTTCTGATGCACAGCAAGTAATTGCAAAGACTCAAACCTGAACCAGGCGCACCTTAGTCTCCAGACTGACATCATTGCTCTTCAGTACTTTGTGCTTTATAAATTTAGTTACCATTGGACTTTTACCATCATTATCTTGTCTTTTCAGGTCCCCACTGAATCTTTCCCATTTCCTTCCCCCCTCCATCCACACACAAATTGTGCAACCCTTGTGATTTAATCCCTATCCATCCTCACTCCTCTGTTTTCACTCATTTCTCCCTTGGGTCATCATACAGGTTTTACTAGTTATCCTTCTATTTTTATAATAATGGTCTTACGCGGTATTTGTCCTTACGAGACTGAGTTAGTTCATACAGCACAGTGCTCTCCAGTCTCTCCAAAGTTATGTAGTGTTGTGTTTATTTTCTTAAGTAAGTGCTCCTGTTTTTTGGGTGCATATTATCCAAAAATGACTGGAATAGCACATCAACAGAGAACTACCAGAAGTCCAGGCTGGTTTCAGAAGGGGTCGTGGTACTAG